CGTATGATGCTTTGGTAGCTGATTCAATTAGAAGGAGATTCAGCAGCCAAATCTCTGAAGTTCAATCTAATTGGGAGACCAGTTAAAAGGTCTGAATTGAATCGGAAGCCTCTGAATCGATTCGGAAAAGATTCAGCGCCACTTCGGAGATTTGGCCATAGACTAAACAGGCAGCAGTCCTCACCATGGTAGACACAGCTGCCTCCAGCTGGTAAGTCTGTGATGGGTGGGGGGGAGAGGGAAGGGGTATGGGGGTGCAGATCAACGCCCCCACAATGAGGGAGGGATTGGGGCTGGGACAAGCTGCTCAGCTGGGGTGGGGGGGGCGTGGGACTCAGGGAGGTGGGCAGGGGATGGTGCAGGAAGTAGGCATGGCAGCACTGGGAGAAGGGGCCCGCCCAGTGCAGATCCAGGGGCACACGGCCGCTCCCATGCCCTCCCAGACAGGTGGCATGCAATGGTGTGCAGTGGCGGGAGCCCCCCTCCCCATGTCCCATGCCCCCCTGCCCCTGGGGAGCTTGTTCCAGTCCCAGTTGCTCCCTCTCTGTGGGGATGTTTCATCTGCCCCTCCCCCTCCGCCCACCACAACAGACTTACTGGCTGGAGGCAGCTGTGTCCAGCGTGGTGAGAACTGCTGTCTGTTTATTCTATGGCCAAATCTCCAAAGTGGTGCTGAATCTTTGGATCCAATTCGGCCATATCGAATTGTAACAGTGATTCGAATCTCCGAATCGAATCGCTGTCCCCCTGAATTGGGTGAATCTGAATCCGAAGTGAATACTTGCCGCTTTGCACTGGCCTACTGTGTATGTGCATACAGCTACAGTACAGCGTGCAGGTGGCCAGGAGAGCAGTTGGTAAGCATGTTGTGAGGTAAGGGGCCAGGGAGAGGGCAGATTGAGGCCCCAGCAGTTGGGGAGGGAGTAGGGCTGGGGCAGGAGCTGCTCAGCTGAGGCGGGGCACTGGAATGAGCTGCTCCCACCACTGTGCACACCTCAGGAGGGCATGAGGGCGTGTACCCTGGATCTGCAGATGAGGCGGGCTGCCACTGCTGGTTGGGCCTGGAGCTGCACTAGGCTCTTACCTGCAGGGGCTAAGCTGGGCTGTGCTTGGGGCAGGCAGCAGTGGCACTGTGAGGAGGGGCCATGGGAGTGGCTGCAGCCACTCCAGAATTTGCTGTACACTCCTCCATAGCCCCCTCCCAGCATCACCACTGCCCGCCCCAAGTACAGCTTGGGCCAGCCCCCCACCAGGAACAGCTCAGTGCTAGTCCCAGCCCACAGTGGCAGCTCGCCCTTCCCTGTGTGCAGATCCAGGGGCATATGCCTCGTGTCCTCCTGGAGTTCGTGCACTGGCGTGAGCTGTCCTCTGCCCTCCTCCGGGCAAGCTGCTCTCAGCTCCATCCTGCTCTCTGTCCTGGCTGTGCAGCCCCAGCCCCATTCCCTCCCTCACCGTTAAAGGGGCACATAAGCTGGAATTTTGAGAGAGAAGGGGTACACTTGTTAAAAAAAGGTTGAAAATCCCTGATTTATGTGATGTTTATTTATTTCAGTTTTCACAAATAGCTACTGGATAAGAGTTGGCAGCAAAGATAGGGAAGGAGCCAAACAGACTCGACTAGTGGAAGAATAAGTTAGGGATGCCTTAAGAAAGCCAAATCATTTCAGATAGACAGGGCTGGATGGTATGTGTACTCTAGGGTATTGATGGAATTGGTTGAAGTAATTTTGGAGCCCTTGGCTATCATCTTTTGACAACTTGTGGAAGTTGGGGGAGGTCCCATATGATTATAAAAAGGGCAAACAAAGTGTCTATCTTTAAGAAAAGGAAGAAGGAGAATCTGGGGTATTGCAGAATAGTCAGTCTTACCATGATTCCTGGAAAAGTCATGGAGCAGGTCCTCAAGGAATCTAGAGACCAAAATGATCATGAAGAGCCAGCATGGTTTTGCCAAAAGCAAGTCATGCCTAATCAACCTGTTTCCTTCTGTGATAAGGTGACAGGCTGTGTGGATGGGGGGAGACCAGTAGATGTGATATTTTCTTACTTGAACAAGGCTTTTGAATTGCCTCTCATGACATTCTCATTAACAAACTAAGGAAGTACAGACTAGATGAAAGTACTGTAAGGTGGATACATAACTTCTTGAATTATTGTTCTCAGTTCATCAGTGGCTCAGTGTCTAGTTGGGAGGAGGTATCAAGTGGGTTTCACCAGTGGTCTGCCCTAGTTCTGGTATTGTTTAATATCTTGATTAATGATTTAGATGATGGGGTGAATATGCTTAACAAATTTTCAGATGATACCAAGTTAGGTGGAGTTGGAGACACTCTGGAGGGTAGGGCAAGGTACCAGAATGACCTGGATAGACTGCAGAAATGGTCCACAGTCAACCAAATCTGATAACATTCTTCAGATACCTGAAGGGTGATTTTTAGAGAGGATGGCAAGTAGCTTTTCCTCTGTGTAGGAAAAAGAGCAATGGCCTCAAGCTACAGCAGGGGAAATTTAGGCTGTAGATTAGGAGGAACTTCTTGACTGAGGGTAGTCAAGAATTTTTGGAACAGGCTACCTAGGGAAGCTGTGGCATCTCCATCTTTGGAAGTTTTAAAGAGTAGGTTGAACAGACATTTAGCTGGGATGATTTAGTCAGAAGTGATCCATCCTGTCTTGACCAGGGGACTGGGCTAAATGATCTTGTGTTGTGAGTTTCCTTCCAACCCTACTTTTCTGTGACCCTGTCTCAATATAGGGGCCATCTGTCAGACAGCCTGTTACCTAATACATGGTAAAGTGCACACGTATTGAATAAATAGGTAATTCACTCAACAGTGTAGCACAGGCCTGTCTGGGCTTCTGCCTAACCACCTCTCCCTATGTTGCTGTGGATTCTAGGTTTAGGCTTCCCCTCCCTGCTTCGGATTACATTTTTGGCTCCTGCACTGTGGGGTGGAACAGTACAGCTAACAGCACAGAGCAGTGGAGGAGTTGAGGGTGGGTGCAAGTGGTGCAGTGGTTGCTTGCACACATGGAGCAGTAGAAGGCTGCACATGCACACAGTGTGTGGGGCAAATGCTGCCTAGTTGCCTGTGCCTTGCACTAGTGTGGGCCCTGGGGGGTTGTGGTCTGCGTCTTATGTGGGCCCCTGACTGCTTAGCATGGCTGGTAATAGCACAGCACTGGTGGCACAGACAGTGTTTCCTAGCTACACTGTGTTCTGGTTATTAGCAGTCGTGTAACTGATGAGCTTCCATCATTTTCAAGACTTCTGAAGCATCTCCAAAACTCCAAAGGACCTTGAAAATAATGGGTTCTAGTTGGTTTCAGACAGCAGTGAATGTAAACAGTGATTGGTAAACACACAGGCTTTTCAGTTCAGACACTGTGGAGTTCTTTAACTTGTTGATAGGTTTACCTAAATTGGACATCCTTTCAGTCTCCCTAGATATTCTGAAAGGAATGATATTTTAAGATTGCAATTAAATGCAAGTCATGCTTGTAAGTGGTAGTAATGCTGTTATGTGTAGTAATGCCATTGAGTTGTTTGTTGCACTAGATTCTGTGCCAGGGTTTAGTCATGTTTTGGTTTCTTGCGTGGCTCAGGTCTTGCCTAAGGGAGTATAATTGTTTCTTTAGTAGTAACATGCAGCCCCAAGGAGACTGTAGACTGAAAATAAGGGAAGTGAGATGTGGTGAGGGAGAAGCTGCTGAGAACTCTCCCATGCTGGGAAGAACTCTCAGTTGGAGAAATATTGCTGATCTAAGTCACTGCCTAGATCAGAGCAGTCAATGAGTGTGTGCAGTGTACTGCTAAACACTAACTTCTGAAGTGAATATATAGTTTTTCTCTACCTATGTCTGGATAAAGTTGGTCAGTAAATCTGCATAAGTGAATTAATGGCCACACCATATCCTAGCAAAATACTTAGGTACTTGGTGTACATGAATTACAAGGCCCCAGTATGGTACTCATGTGGAGAACCACACTGTTTCCACTTACTGGCCTTACAGAAACATTATTATTACTGTGTGGCAAATAAAGTGCTTAAAGGCAGAGAAATATTTAAAAGAAAAATATCTGTAAAATAGGTTTTATCTATTATGTGTGGCTGAAACAAAGCATGATAGTTAGTGATTATTTGATGTCTCTGAATAAGTTAAATCACAACCTTTGCCTCTTTGGTAAGGTGCACACCACAGGTGCCTTGCTTCATTAATTACATGTGTAAACTTTGCCTTTCATGCAGATGTCAGTCTTAATTACATATTCATTTTTAACCTAACCTATACTTCATATTGTGCAGGGTAGATGGTGAATGAAATAGGGGTCCAGGTCTTTGCCTTGTACAAATTGGACTGTTCGTAGCAATTGAGACAGGGAGCCACAGCTTGAAAATGGTAAGACAATTTGGTCACTTGCAGTGACCAACTCGCATACTGAAGAGTTTATTCACTGATAAATAATAGTAAATTACATTGAAAATAAAAACTTTTACAGTGCCTAAATAGCAGGTGTCAGAATTCAGGTTATAGGAGCAACCTTACTTTGGAACTTGCTGACTTGTGATTGCATCATTTTATAAGTTAAAGAACAATAAAATCTATTGTAGTTTGTTTTCAAGGCTTAGGAAGTAACTCCTATGACTTTAAAAAGGACATTTAGTCATGTATAATAACCTCCCACGAAGACTATATCTATTTCTTACTGCTTTTTAAAAAAAAAAAATCAACAATTCAGTGGAATTTTTAAGTTTCATTAAATGTATTTTTACCTTTTTTGTTTTTTGGGTTTTTTTCTATCATCTCACAACACACTCATATTCAACAAGTTCTCAACAGTGCTACTTGGAGTAGAAATATTTGGAGACTAACTGACAAATAGGTTGATGGGAGGAACATACATCATTCTTAATTTAGCAATTTGTTGTTTCAGCAAGTTTTGGGGTTTTTGGGTACATTTGTTTCAGAACACTTTTTTTAAATTTTCATATGCTCAACAGATTCTGAAGGAAGTGGTCATGGGAGTGAAGATGCATCAAAGGACAGTGGTGAAGGTTCCTGTACTGAATCAGAAGAAAATATTTTGGAGGAAGTAGCAGCAGAACAAGAGAAAGTGGAAGAACAACCCAAAAGCTCTGCTGGAGAAGAGACACCAGCAACAGAGAAAGAGGTGATTAAGACAGAAAAGAAAGATCAGGAGGAAGAGGATGAGAAGCCAAAAAAGAAAAAAGAGAAAGCCACTGAATCTGATGCAATTGCTGATGAGCAATCAAATGAGCCAAAAAAGTGGAATTTGCGCCGCAATCGACCTCTTCTAGATTTTGTATCAATGGAAGAACTAAATGATATGGATGATTATGACAGTGAGGATGACAATGACTGGCGGCCTACTGCTGAAAAGAAGAAAGGAAAAAATGCATTGCGAAAGGAGGGAAGTGATGGAGATAATGAGGATGATGAAGATGATGGAAGTGGAAGTGATGATGATGACAATGATGAGGAGGGCAATGAGGATGAGAACAGCAGCACTGCTAGTGATGGTGCATCCAAGAAGAAGAAAAATAAAGTTCTTAACAGGAGTAATGCTGATGATGAGGAGCTGACAAATGATAGCCTGGCTCTTTCACAAAGCAAGAGTAATGAGGTAGAGCAATCAACTTTCTATAATCTCTCTGAAAAATGGAAAATTCTCTGCGGTGCTGTTTTTTTTAAATGAGTAATTTAAAAACTTAAACTGACAAATTGTTTGGTGTTTTGATTAATGAAGAAGCTGCAAAACTATGCTGAATGACGTGAAAACAAATGAACTAAACTGGCCTTGGCTTTATGGTCCAATCCAACTCCTACTGTAGTCGATGGGAAGTCTTTTGTCGGCTTTGGTGGGTTTTGGATTAGCTCTTTAGCAAGTAGGCTAATCCATAGTGGAAACAAACCAAAACATGAATTTAGTTCTCTTATAGCATATATGCTATTAAACACAAGTCAGATTTGAAGTTATGATATAGCTGTGACAGCCTAACAGATGCCAAAAAGATAGCAAGCCTTGATGTACCCCTGGACTGTAGCAGATATCATATAGAACAAACAAACATTACATTCACTGCTAACAACGTTCTTAATAGAAGGATATGTATATGGGTTCAGCTAGAATGTGTGTGTGGGGGGGTTCCTCCTTATATTTCTTTAGGGGAATTGATTGTAGTTTTTGAAGTGTAATGCTTTTTACATTGATTGAAAAGTGATCATGGGTAAGGATTAGTTACAGTAAATACCTTATCAGTTCAGAATGCAAATGCTGTTTGATATTACAGTGCTTCCCCAGACACTGTTCCACTGCTTTAAATAAGGTTTGCATCTGTGGAAGAATTGTTGTATTGGCTTGTTAAGATAGTTGGTTTCATCAAACCTATTTGCAAAACTGGAATAAAAATCACTGGAAGTCTTTTTTTTTTTTTTTTTTTTTTT